GTGCCTCTGCTGTCAGGACACGAGGAGATGAGACACAATCTGCTCCACAGGGGGCCCCCAACAACACCCCAAGCAGCCATTTTGCAGGTGCAAGGGGGTTTAGTCTCCTTGGGGAGAGGAAGAGGCAGCCCCTCGGCCCAGGCAACACCACCTCCTCCCTGCAGGCCTCCCTCACATTACCCTCAGGAGCGGCACCCCACGGCACTGCCGTGGAAAGGGGCGCCCAGACCACACTGCCCCAGCACGCCGCCATCTCGCCTTCCCTCCACCCAGCCCTACAGCCCTGTAAGTAGGGCAACGCCATTTCCTTCCTCTCCAGCAGAGGCTCACTGCTCCCACCTGCCCTGCATAGATGCTTAATGTGACACAGGAGAGGTGTGTTTGCAGTCACTTATTGTTAAACTGCCCTATAAAAGCCCTGGGGGAAGGCATTATGGCTGTTTGCCTCATGGGCTCAAATAGCTGGGGGGGGGGAATCAGCCATGATGCTCTCCTTGGGCCCTGTGTGGCTGCAGCAAAGTAGGCAGCGAGGGGGGGCTTTGGGGCCTGCTTTCCCTCAGAGGTGTTGTTAACTGACTCTTTTTTGCTACTATTTCTTTGTAATGGTGGTGGGGAGTGCTGGGGTCCAGGCTTGGGCCTCTTCCCCGCTCTGACATTGATGTGCTCTGTGGTGCTCTGCTGGGGTTTCTCTCCTAGCTAGGACCTGCTGCTCGTGTCTGCTGTGTGGGGAGAAGAGGGCTCTGCCCCCCAGCTCTGGCTGTTTTTGGGGGTTTGGATACTGAGGCTGTTTGCAAGAGCCTCTCTACTGGCTTTTTGTTGTAAGAGACCTTTCTTGCAATCTGTTGTGCTGATCCAGGAGAGGAAGGCTTCAGCCTGAGGTAAATGAGAGGGGATGCCTAAAATACATGTGGAAAAACTTGCCTAAAATACATGTGGAAAAATTTGCCTTTGCCAGGAGAGCAGGATTTAAAAACAAACAAACAAACAAAAAAACACCGAACTGCAGCTCTTCCTTTGCCACACAGCATGAGTTAGTAGTGCTGTGCTTTGTGGTGTGCTGTTACCTTCTTCTTAAGGCCCAGCTCACCTTTATTTCCTCTACCTGACAGCTTTCTGGTGCTTTATTAGGCTCTCCTGGTTGGATATTTTTTTTTTTTTTAGACCTTTTCAATGATTAAGGATTTTTCTGCGTTAATGAAGCAGTATGTTCTGGTAGCTATAAATAGAATACAACAAACTATACAGTAATGGTGAGCAACAGAGAAACCTCTGAGGAAAACGCTTCTTCCTCTAGTAAAATCAGCAAACGCGTGTAACAAATATTCTGTAAGATCATCAGTGTGGTAAGAGCGCTGTGTCTGGATGGTACCTCGTTAGACCTAGGTGACAGCAGTATTTGCTGTGTGACCTTTGTGCCGTAACTTAAAAACACGGCAGTATCCCTTTCCTGCGGCTTTCTCTCGTTCTTGAGTATAAAGTTAGCACAATGCGATATTTAAAAGCATTTTTTAGTTTCTATATGCTTTGTAATCCTGTTCAAATTTTGTGTTGGCAATACTGTAAATGTTAATAGCAGCATGATGTTGCTGATCATGCTAACTGCTGTGAAGAACTCTCAGTTGTTGATTTAGCAAGCCAAGTTGTCATTTTGCTGCTAACACAGATATCCATTCCCTGTTTTCTGGCTTCCTACCAACTTGTGGTGAAAGCTTGCTGAATAAGAATATTTGGCTGTCCAAGTTTAACTCATTTGAGGTATTTTAAAGATAGAATTCACATTGCTCTTGTGTGAAACATTCAGCTTCATTCCTTCAAAAAGACATTTAAACAAACAAAAACCCACCCAAAACAAATCTCTTGCATTAGTCAGTCCCAGCCTGTGAATCCTGAAACCGTCCCAGAGGAGCACTAGTTCAGAGATGGGCAGTACAGGACAATTAGAGAAGAATTTGGTGGCTAGATGGAAGGAAGTGTGAACTCTTAAAGTCTAACAGGAGCAGCACAAGTTGATTTTACCATGAAGTGCAAATGATCAAAATGAGCAAAACGCAAGCGTAGAGCACTTTTGCCTTCCCCTT